TATAGATACAGGACATTTAACATTTCCAGGTTGTCTTCCCAAGGGAATGGGCACCGTCTCCAGGCCCAATACATCATACGGTTCTTTATCTTGGAACTGGTGAGAAACCAGAACTTTCCAGGTGTAGCATTCCACAACATTCACAGGCAGTTCTAAGCATGAGGTTATACACGCACACACGCACATACGCACGCGCGCACACACACACACACACTCACACCTATGTACACACGTCAAAAGAGATAGTCAGCTCATATTTAGTCTAGGAAAAAAAATATATTTATATCACTGCAATGGCACACCCTGGGTAAAATGTCACTTCAGCAATGCATATCATAGGCAGCTCATGGGAACTGGCTTTGTTCTGTGTGGTGGCACCTGACCGGTGTCCGTAATAAAACCTGTAGCCTTTGGTCACTTGCTGCCACACCAATGCAGCCGTGACGTACAGGAATGAAAAATATGGAAATACATATAAATTAAACCAGGAGTTTGGGAGCAAGGGCTCTGCAGAGCTGGTGCCGTGAGGCAATACATTCCTCAATGCGACTGGAGAACAGATGCTGAACCTCGATGCTGCTGCTTCTCCACTGGGAAGGGAGATGGGAACGTCTGACATTTATTCTTCCCAGGTATCGATGCTRTTTCTTCAGTGTCTTTGCCCCAGAACTGGCACAACAGAAGCAGAAGAAACACATTTGGAAGGAACTGAGGAAGGCGTTTTCTGTTTTCTTCCAAGGGCTGTGTAATCAACAGGAAGGGCTGTGAGGCCAAGATAGCAGATTCTATTCCCTGTAGAGAAGAGAACAACACTTTAGACAACACATCAACAGTATTCCCTGTTGGCTGTCAACAAATGTCGGGTGGAAGAACACAGGTCCATAGAAGCTGGCGTGGCTCAGTGAAAGTAGTTTAGACGTGACATAATGAATTCCTAATTTCCTCCTCTGAAAAGTCATAAAGACAATTACAAAAATAATATCTGTCAGCAACTAGGTGACAACTCTGACGGGTGCTCTATGTAAACCTATTGTATGGATGAGGAAGCTGAGGCACAGAGAGGCCTGTGTAACCAAGGTCATATACTCTGACCTTGAAAGCTGTGATCAGAACCCGCAAAGCCAGAGTCTACAGCCACTCCTGAATCACTATGTCAGACAGACAGACTCTTTGAAATGAGGATCGTGGCTTATTTCAGTCCACAATCGCTTGTAGTCATCACTAATGATTGGAAATTAAAAAAAAAAAAAAAGGTGGAGAAACTGCTGATGTCAGTGATAGAGGTGAGAGATCCAGCCTACTTCTGCACACCAAGAACCCATCAGCCACAACCCAGACAAATGCCCAGGCCTCCGTCTAGAACCAAATCAGGCTGACAAAAAAGCAAGGAACCCTCTAGACTCCTCACCATCTTCTCATTTGTCAAAGGATTGCCTCAAACCAGGAGAAGCAGTTGTTGGCCTTTTATTTCCCATCAAAGTTCTTCTTGGACTGCATCCATTAGAGGGGCCGTGCATAGCACTGGCTTTAAGTGGAGGGCAGGAAGTGAGGCCACACTGCACTACTGCAGATGATCGTCTTATTATATCCTATCAATTGTTTCTTTCTTTTGTGTAGGTATGTGTTTATAAGAAGAAATAATTAAATTTAATTTCTTTGAGTTAAATGATCATATTTAAACATGTAAAAAAAGTAGTCTATTTGGAGAGACAGAAATAAAGCCTTATGAATTATTCATATAGAATATTTTTTTATAGTTACTGAAAATTTAAATGTGGGCTAGGGTGTAACTACCAATATCTTCAAAGTCACTTGTTTGGGATAGAAGGAAGGGTGCAAAAAGGGGAGTTGGATTTGATCAGTGCATACGCTGTGTGCATGTTTGGAAATATCACATGGCAATGCACTAATATGTATAATTAACATGTGTTAATAAAAAAGAAGTGAGTTGTAGGTACTCAGGTTGTTCATTTCAACAAATTATGAAAAAGGAAAGAAGAAACGAAACAGAATTGGATTTATTTTTCTAATTCTTTCCTCTGAGGAAATCAGTAAGCTCATCAAATGTAATTTTTGAAACCTGAATGCGCAGGAATTTCACCCAGCAAGCATGCATTTATGTGAAGGACAAGGAGAAAGTGAACTTGACCTTAAACTCTAGAGTGCAATCATGCTAGGGGGAGAGGCAAACTTTTTGATGAAGAACTTCTTTTGCTACCAGAAATTTCATTCTTGCAGAGGAAAGAGGGGTCTTATAAACACACTGTCTCTTTTCCCATCTGCCAAGCCCCTTCTTCACTTAACACCTGGAATGAAATATCTACTATGTAAATATATTTGCAGTGTTAAGTGGGCATTGGGGGGACTTCTGTTTCCATGAAAATGATTGGACACCTGAAGTTACAAGTGTGGGAATGTGAAGGCGTCTATCTAGTTGATCGCAAAAGAAAAGTTGAGACCATACGCCCCTCTCCTTTGAATTAGGGCAACTCCTCTATCATGGGTAATTTCTTGGATAAAGCAATTGGCTTACAAGGGGGTCACAGTTGTTAAAAGAGAATCCACAGTGACTAAATAAACAAGGTGCTGCTCCTGCAAGTCAACTACCCAGACTTCAGAACACCCTGCCCATCCACTGCTTGCATTCAAGTGGGGTTTCACTTGTGCTTTTCACTCTTTTCAATTATGAAATAGTAATTTCATAAACTTCAAGGCTAAAATATGCATGCCAATCCTTTTGAGTGTCATTCGATAGGACCGCCACCTTTCAGTTATTCCCACGTTTAAGGTGAAGGCACCTCAGGCACATGGCCCCAGCCACAGAAAGGCACTTCACCCCACTGGGGCATGGGCAGCAAAACATCCGGGAACACAGGAGAAAGACAGAGGAGTGACACTGGGGCTGGGCAGACACAAGGGTGCCCGGAGCTGCGGAGCACACTGTTTTCCCCGAGAACATCTCACATACACATTGGACAATACCAGGCTGTGAGAAAGGTGTTATTACTAAGGTATCATTAGCTTTCTGGTTCACAGGCGGAAGAACTGAGTTATAAAGAAAAGTGGGGTGAACTTCCCAGTGTCAACATTTGGGTTGGCTTCAGAATCCATAGCTGTCCGGATGCCAGGGTCTGGCTCCAGCCTCAGGAAACACTGGAACATTCTATTGTTCTGCCATTACTCCTCTAAAACTGCATCGAGGGAATGGGGGTAGGAAAGGCTTTTATTGCTACTGGATATTATGTTTGACACTTGGAAAATCCATTTTTGTCTTTCTATTGGCCTTGACCCTAATATATGAATGTGTTAAAAGCAAGGTTTAGAAGGTGACCTTTGAATGACATAGGATTTCGTGTTCCACCTGATTATTTCATTTGGAGATACCTGCTGGGCAGTGGTAAAACTACTGCCTCAGAACAGATGATGATTTGTTAGATAACTTTCCCTTTCTTTGGAAAAGTTCTGCTTTGAGTATGTCTAATGTTTAGAAAAATACTTCAAGTCCTAAGTTGCTGACTTTAAAGAATGCAAAAATTCTAATTATTCAATGAATGCAAGGTTAACATTCTGTTTTTTCTTAAAGTCTCATTTCATAATGCTGCTGACTGTACAGAATAAAAGCAAAATACTCCACAGCTTTCCTGAAAAAAATAAAATAAAAATTTTGAAAGCAAATAAAAAGAAGAATCATTTGCCTACATTTGTCAACTTTTAACATGAACATCCAGAATTCCTAGACTTCAGCAAGCATGGTGATAAAATAAAAATTGCTGGACTAGTTTTAGAAACAAATTTCACATTCTTTCTGAACAGAAATGCTTTTACAACTAATGTTGCAAAAAAGGTTTTTACTAAACTGTCATGGTTTGACAGCATCAAATTTAACATTCCTTGCTTGGAAAGAAATAGCTTTCAGGATAAAACTGAAAGAGAGAGGGGGAAAAAAAAAGGTCATTAAAATTAGCCAAGCTTTCATTTAAAAGTGAAAAAAAAATAGTTTAAAAAAATAGTTAACATTTTCCCAGGCCGACGTTAGGTCTTTTACTTCTAGGAATGAACAAAGCCATTTAATTCACCTGTTTCAATAAGAAAATTCTGGAGAATAAAAGAAAAGTTGTGGGCTTGTGGATGAACAGTGCATTTTTAGTGGTCACTTTCTGATAATGACAAAGTCAAGGCTGAAGACAAATCTCCTTGCCTAATCCTGTATGGTAAAGGGTTTTAGGGGCACAGGAGGCTAAAGGAAAGACTTCCCAATGCTTCTCCAGCAAAACAAACCCCCCAGAGGATGGGCCCATGATCCAGCCATTGGGGAGAAAGGCTCCTGAGGTTCTTGCCCAACACCCACAAGACAGTCACTAACAGGCACAGCCTGAACAAGAGGTACCAAAGGACAAGAGGAACCTTCCTGAGAGAACCCACAGCCACTGGGGTCTGGGTCTCACCCTCCTGAACCTGACTTCACCTCATGTAATAAAGACTTCACTTCCCCATGGAAGAACATCAGGAGCGTCTTTCTGTTTGGGTCTCCACTCCTACTGTCAAGAAAGGACTGAGATCCTGAAAGAACCCAACCCTCTCTGACAGATGGAAACGAATGTTTTGCGAACAGTGTTTCAGATGAGATAAAGTCTACCAAAAAAATTCAAGGGCAGGGAGGGGTTTATTGGAGAAAGACTTGTCGCTGTTTCTTTTGACTTACCTTGTAGATTGGGGATTGCTTCTTTAAAGGAGGGTAGTATGAAATTTTCCTAGTCAAGATTGTCACAGCCCACTATCCATAAGGTAGTTATAAGTTTGCAGGGTCCCAAGTAAGACTTTATATGGCACAGCCTCAGGCCCAAAGAAACAGACCTCAATTATTCAGTTAGGGATTATGGGGTTTGAATTTTTTTTTTTTTTTAATATCCACTTTTCTTTTCTTTCCAGCCCCCATTGTCACAGGAATCTACCAGGTGACGTGAGCCCTGAGGAGGCTGCATGGGTGAGCCACAAGATTTTTCACCCAGGTCTTTTCCCGTGATTTGAAGAAAGCTTTAAATGCTACAACTGAGTCCTTTAAAAAAATGTTCCTGGGCATGGTCATAATTCCAGTTGAGCAAAACGAGTGTCAATTATGCCACAAACAAAATACTGCAGTTGTAATTCCAAATGGAGGGAGGGTCAAGGACATCTCAGAGCAGCGCAGGGTCTGGCAGCAAGTACAGCATCAAAACTCAGAGGCAGAGATCTATTTATATAGGTACACGTATTTTACAGACTGGTGATGGACTTAAGTACTGGTGAGAAACAATTTGTTCCAGGTCTGATTCCAGTGACCGGCTGTCATTTCTGCAAGGCCCACAGTTTCAGCAATCTGTACACCGAGCGACGCTGCAGATAAATTTTTCCTTTTAATTTCAGAGGGCGAAGACGAAGTAAAAAAAGTGCAGTTCTTCAATTAAAGTGCATGGATGAGGTAAACTAATTTCAAGAGTTTTGAGTTTATTCAGTACTGGCTCAGACAGGGACCATCCTGCCGTGCATCTGCTGCATTTGGGTTCGCATGGCCTGGACACTGCTCAGAATCTTGTTCTGGTGTGTGATGGCCGTGATGCCAATCCTTGCCAGGTCRCTGTAGGTAGGACATAAAGAGAAGAAGAGAAAATGTTAAGGGGGTTGAGAAGCTGGGTTTCCCGACTTCATGCAGACACACATTTGAATCMACCACAATTGATACAGCACAACAAGGCAGGTGTATTAAAATGTTTAATCAAGCAATTTAATGCAACAATGTAGGTGYTATATAGAGATTGTGTAAAATTACACTTAATCAGGATGGCAGACATTCCAGTTTTCTTTTCTTTTCTTTTTAATGAGTAGGATGATTATTGATTATGGAGCTCAAAGAAAAAAAAAAAAGGAAAATACTATTAAATCTAGATTTACCCTTTGGTGTTACATCGCTGAGTACTTACTCCTGGTTCATGTGCACCACAGCCTCTAGGGTGGTGTAACCAGCAGCTGTGAAGTTATCCTTATACCGGTCCATTTTAATGGCCTGGAGCCAATCGCCCACAGATACTACAGCAGAGAATTCAGGGGAGCTGGGATCCAGCAGAGCAGTGTTAGGCCTGGAAAGAGAACAAGAGAGTATAAACGAACAGGCGCCATCGGTACGACAGGAAGGCTCAGAAGTGGGATTGCCTAAAACAGGCAAGGGGAGCTAAAAAGCCAAGAGGTTTTAAACAGAACAACTGTGGTCAAAGGGAACCATGTGATTTCTTTTGCCCTTATTTCACAAAGCTGCTAAAGTATGTATCCATCGTTCTTATTCATTCTTAATTCCATTTCCTGTCCTTGTTTTATGTGGTCCTCTTATAGCAGTTAACACCCTAGCTTGGGGTAAAGTTTGGGGGAGCTCTTGTGGTTGAAGCCTGTTCAGTCCCTGCCAGCTCTGAATATCATGGGCTTAGGTTCAGCAACTATGGAAACCTTACTGAAGTATGAGCAAGGAAAACTGCAAGCCCGCAACCTGCCAGTCTTGAGCGAAGTGGCGGGAACAGCAAGGGTTCAAGTCCATCATGGTTCCAGCAGGGTCTGCAGGCAGGCGGGTGCACTCATACAAACTCAGGCCAGCAGGGAGTTAATCCCCTCTAATCAGCCCATGCCTGACCAGCACGTGTGCCAAGACTGGCAGGAAGAATGGCCACTTTGATCACTGTTTGGATTATGGAATGTGCTTCTTTGCTGGGCTCCTGAATAATGATTTCAACAGATTCAAAGAACTTCTTATTAACTTATTTATTGGTTTACGTATTTCTCAAGCCAGGTGTTTTATACTACATCACTGTCAAGAACAACACAGGCAGGAATTCTGTGGCTCCTCTTGATATTGATGTACAATAAATCACCTATTTATGAAAAGTATTTATTAAGAGAATTATAGACATCTTCATCATCAAACTACCTAATAACTATAGGATAGGTCTTCAAGAGGTATTTTAGAACACCTTTACTATAATTACCCACATAGCGATAATGTTATTTGTTAAATTATATTTTCTTGAACTTCTCTTTTCCCTGAAAATCACAAACTGTGTTTGATTTTAACATTTTGTCCTGATTTTCATTTGAGATTATATTTGAGTACAAACATTTAAATTGGAATTACATCATTACTACTGAATTCTTAAACAAAAAAATTTCTTGAAAAAACAAAATTAATAAAATGTCTTGATTAATTTACTAAAGCAGAAGTAGTCCAATTTTAAATTCATTTTAAAATATTTCATTTTTGATGTTATTTTGATATGCATGCTTTCTTTTAACATAAATATTTTAACAAAGACTACGTTTTAATTTCTCAATTTTGTGTCCAAATGATAGTTTGCCTGTCTGACCTTTCTGTTGTGTCCTTTATTTCTAATTTTCTGAGTAAAATTCTTCAGATGTTCATAGAGAGAATAGTCAAAATTTAATTCTTCTCCCATTCTGAGTTAGTGACAAATACTATCATGTCAAATTTTAGCTGTTTAGCTGAGTATTAGATGTATAGCAATATTTGTTGGTAAATAATGACCGATAGTTTGCATTTACTTCCAACTTTAAGCCATGTAAACAGACAGAGTAAGATATAGGCTCTAAGTGCCTGACAAGATCAACATGAACTTAGGATAAAAATATCTTCACTCATATCAATTAACTCTATCGGTTTTTCTCAAGCTTGTTCTGAAGGCTTTGTGTTCTTTATGGAATGGCATGACATTTCCTAATTTTGTGCAGAATGCTTGGGCTCCGTGGCTAAAGATCTAACAGCTGGAGGAGATTTACCTTGGAATTGAAGAGATTGGATTCCCCTGGAAAGGAGGGCTCACAGTAAATTATTTTACCCTCTCAGAGAAAAGAGTAACAAAAAATATCCCAGAAATGGTAGATTTCTTTTCTTTTTTTCCTGATAACACATGGCAGAGATAAGATGTGAATTCAGCCCTTTTCAATGTTATTTGCAAAGAGCATGGCCACTATGGTTTTAGTCTAGTGGCCAATGGGAGGGATTTGAAAGATTAGAGAAGAGAGGGATTTTTTTTTTTCCATTTACTCTAAATTCTTCTTCACGTGTTGTGATCACAAATGTGTCCCTTCTTTTCCAGGACATTTAAGCTAAATTTTCAGTGGAAAGATGGGAGGACCCAGAGGGCCAGCAAACACTACAAGGCCTTGGACATAGGGACTGAGAAGACTGCCCTTCTGTTTCTGACTCCAGGTCATGCTGAAAGACAAGCTCCAATTTGGAGGCACGTAGGCACTTCACTTCACACAGGCCTGGGTCACTAGTCTTATCATTGTTGGTTTCTTAATCCAAAATAGATTTTTGTCATTGTCACAAATTGGCAAAGACACACATTACTATTCTCCTAGTCATTGAAGGCTCCCCTAATGATTTCTTTGACATCTCCAGGCTGGGACTGTTTCTATGTGTCCCAGATCTGTTGGCAGGAAAGCCCAGACTCTATGTAGAAAACGCTTCCTAGTGAATCATAGCAATTATGTATCTCTAGGTTCCTAGTAGACTGATGCGTCTCCTGCTGCTTCTCCCAATGAAATGACCACCTTCTTCACAGCTGGTCCAATCATTTTGGTTTTCAAACCCCTTCTTTAACATGCATCTGCATGCTCTGCGACATCTATAGTTCCTATACCCGCTCTGCAAGATTCAGAAAGGGGAAAGCAGAAAAACCAGACCTCAAGGCTCTCTTGGTACAAACACTTGGTAAGTTGACTTAAAATTGCAGAGTTTAGAGATCTATCCTCCAGTCTTAATTCCTCACTATTTCAACGTGTTTTTTTTTTCTTTTCCTTTTTCAAAACATAGCATCTACTTACCTAAAAGTCTTCTAAGACTACATTTCATCCCTCTTCCTAAATTTTTAAGGCCAGCATCATAAAAGAAGCACTTTATTTCTTTTCTTTTTTTAAAAAAAATTCTTACCACCATTTGAGGCCTGACAGGCACGAGGCTGATCAAAATGATGGAGAGAACTGTCTTAAATACTTCACTGATTGAGAAAGAAGCTGCCCAGATTATACAGAGCTATGAAGTGGCCGCTGAAGAAAAGTCAGGAACTAAACTGAGTCACCACTGGTCTGCCAGCTCCAGTCCCCTGCCTCATCCATCACTAAGCATAGCCAACCTGGAGCTTTCTGTCCCTGTCCTCTTCAAGCTGTTGGGATTGCGGATGAGTTTATCCAACATGTTGACAATCTGCCCAAATTTAGGCCTGTCGCTTCTCTCCTTCTGCCAGCAGTCCAGCATCAGCTGGTGGAGGGCAATGGGACAGTCCATTGGCGGAGGTAGCCGATAGCCTTCCTCGATGGCTTTAATCACCTGCAGAAGACAACAGGATGGGAGGTTAAGCCGCCAGGCGAGCTGCTGTCAGAGGTTCACCCTCCAGACGAGCATGTTTCTTGTGCCAGCGAGCTTGAGCAGGGGCACGGTTCCAACTCCTTCACAGAAGCCAAAGACAGACCCAAGTCTCACTGGCATGGAGAGAGGGAAACCAGCTGTTGCTGTGAGGTGTCCTCAAATGGCAAGCAATGCCAGCTGGACATGAAGATGAGCAATATTCCACAGTAGTTAGAAGCCAGCTAGATCAGCAACATGATGTCAGCTCTGGAGACGGCCCTCGGGTCACCTGGTTCTGCCACTGCCCCTCTGTACTCCTCTATGCAGCATTAGCACACCTACACACTCCTAGCAAGAGACTCTCTAGTGCCCAAGACCTTCCCCAGGGGGGATGTAATGTAATTCCCTTGCTTCAGCTTAAGCCTGTGTCCCCCTGCTCAGACATGAATGGGCCAACTCCAAGCCCCCATCTCCTACATGCTCAGCCAGTTTCCCTTTGGAAGACCACACCCTTAGGCACCAATTCTATATCTTTTTCTGGTTTCAAGTGGCTAAGTGATGACTCTGTTAAAAGTATAAGTAGATTTTTTAAAAAGTGTCAAGAAAAAAAAATGACTCCTTTTAGGGCATTTTTATTGGAAAGGGAGCCCTGACACCTAAGGAAGGCAGTAATAATGGTAGGTGATGATTGTCCTATTGCCCAGGACCATCCAGACTGGTCTCCTTGCCTAATAAGAAAGAAACACATCATTCCACAGTCTCCCTGCTAATCCTAGTTTTTTTCTAATCTAGCCTTGGAGGTGTTACATGGTTTTCTCATAGGCTCTTCTCTAATCCCCTTCCCCTTCAGGGTGTGAATCCCGGTAAYGTAATAGGGTGCGATGCATGCCAAACTGAGAGAGGGGAATGACTTCACAGTTTCTTGGCTATGCATAAGCTTTGTTTATGAGTATCCAATGAGATACTGTAAATGCTTTTATTTGTTTGAGGCTTTAAAAAGTTTTATTTGTTTTAAATCAGTGCATGTTCTTCCCTGCCTACTAACATGATGGCTGCTAAAGAAACCCACAGTGGCTGCAGATTCTGTAATCACCCCACTGATTTTCTCTGCATTGAATCTATAACTGCATAGAAATTGGCCCTCCACATTGTGGATCCAGCTGGATCCGATTTTTCTGTACCAGTTTGTTGTCTTTTTAATCAGCACTCTGCTTCTGGATAACAAGCCTCTTAATTTAAGGGCCCCCATGATCCTTTCCCTCCCATGGGTTCTTGTTGTATTAGTCGTACCTACTTCTCCTTCGAAGGCAGATTTCTCTATGCTATCTCACTTAACTCTATCCTATTTATTTCTGGCAGCTACCCTAGGTCAATTTGATCCTCTGGCTTTCTTTTATCTTACCTGGTACACAATATTGACTCCAGACTTGATGGAAACATTTTAGATTGAATGGATGAGAATGTAAGCAGCACTGGGCTGGTGCCAGGGCAACTCAATTTTCTGTAACCCTCCTGACTGATTAATACCCTTTCCTATACTCACTCTCCACTGTCAGCTTGGAAGATTGCTTGTGGGTTAACAAAGCATATTTTCTCAGTGTACTGATGAATCTTATGGGGGCAAAGGATTAAAGCAAACAAAAAAACTTGCTAAGTTGGACACATTTTCAACAGTTACTTTCACTCCATTTCCCCTAGGCCGAATGAATTCTGCTTAGGAAAGTCATTCTCCAGCTACATTTCCTATTGATTCCCGTTCCACCCAGAATCCAGCATAGAGACAAATACACAGAAGTGGATGATAGGTTGATATTATTTGTGAGCCAGAAATGGATTGAAATGCTTTTTTATAGATACAGCCAGAAGATTGAAAATGTAAAACAACTAAATCGTTTTAATGTAATATAGAACTTGTCAAAATTACAGGTCTGAAAACATTTAGGGCGGAAAAAACTGATCATCTTTAGATACTCTGTTCTTATGGATATTTGGCTATGACTCATAACTGAAATAGTCAGTAAATAAGTCCATACACTGCTTGCTCATTTAGTTTGTTTTTCTTTGTCCCTCTGAGAATCTCTAACCTGAATCTAATGTTGCTATTTGAAGGTCTCTACCTTATATAATCAGATCAAACAATGGAGTATACACATTACTCACCTTTATAATTACCTATCACTTAGGCAGGCTGCCATATTTCTTCCCATCTACCATGACTATTCTTCTTCTTCTTTTTTTTTTAAACAAATTACAGATAATACAGTGTGGGTTCTACCATTCCCTTTAATCTGGTTAGTCACAGTAGAATCTTTCTGCCACACTAGGCATGGGGTGCATTAGTGTCTCTATGACTCTGAACATTCTTTTACTGATAAGGCAGTCTGCATTCTATTTAAGTTCACCTGGGTCTTTGTTTATTTGTCAAGACTTTGCAACTTCCTGCTGTGTGAGGAGAAGGCGGATGGTCAGGCATCATCCTGCATCAGAGAGACTTTTTGAAAAGAAGACTTTCTAAAATAGAATTTCAATTGATAAACTGAATACCATGCATTTGGAAACACTCTCTGATAATGTTCTAACTCATGCATAAAAAAATTAGTAAAGCTCATGAAGTATAGGTGACCATGTAATTTTGATCAGATTTCCAACCCTTCTATACTAAACCTCTTGCAGAATTAGTAAAAACATGTTCTAGGAAGACCCCCTGATCTGGGGCTTTCTCTTGTTTTGTTTTTTTCCTTCCTCACTGGAGATGTTTGTAATTAAATTCTATTACTCTGGAATCTTATTAGTGTCATTATTGAATGCTTTTCTGAAATTGCAGGCACTGTGGATACTCCCTTACCAACTAGTCCAGATGGTACATTTAAAGGGATGTGCATAATTTACAAAGGGTCATTTAGTGGAGCTTTATTTTAGAGTCCTCAAGGGGCAAACTCTAATTACAACTATGCCAGCTTTAAAATATTCGCTAGTTTTCTTTCATGTCAATTTCATCACATGTGAAATTTGTTTTCTCATAATCCTTGCATTTTCTTAAAAGTCAAAGTTCAATTTTGTTTCAGTGTGATTTTAAAAGTCTGCCGGCTGAACATATTAACCCATACTGTTTATGTACCGGTCTATCTCTCTCTCATACTATACCATAGTCTTTGAAATGGAAAGTCACTGTTGATCACACCGTAGAAGTGGATCTCAAGATACATTTGTATTAAAAACCTCAGCTTTAATGCATCATTTGAAGCCAAAAGCACACTATATCATGCAGTAATGCACAACTTTCTGAATCTCAATATAAAGACATATGTTTCAGGACACAGAGACTCACGTCTTGATTGGACATGTCCCAGTAGGGTCTCTCCCCATACGACATCACTTCCCACATAACGATTCCGTAGCTCCATACATCACTTGCTGATGTGAATTTACGATAGGCAATTGCTTCTGGCGCGGTCCACCGGATAGGAATCTTGCCACCCTGTGACATTGGAGCCATAAGTTAGTCCCTAAGTACACCACTGACATGCTATTTTCATTTCTGAATGCAGTTACTACTTGCCAAGCAAGTCCATTGCATTCTGGAGATAGCAATCAGAACAATAATAAGAGATGTGTTTATTTTAACTAAAGTCTTCTAAGTTGAGGTGGTTCTCTTCATGTGTTTTCTTTAGTCACAGGGAAGTGAACAAGTAATCTGTCTACCTATTTTTTAAAACTCTACCTATTACCTGAGTTTTGCTTGAGGCAATGTCATAGAAGAGAGGGAATCTCAGGTTTTACAAAATACACATGCTATCCAGGGCATATCAAAGCATATTTGTGGCTGACATTTGTTTTGACTTCTTGCTGAATTCTGTCATCCAGCAGTACAAAGGTAATGCTTAATATTGCATCAGAAATCATGAATAAAGAAAGATAAATATGAAAATTCTTGTCCATCACACTGTCTTTCTAGTCTTACAAAGCATGAGAAACATGCTTGATACATCTAGAAGATAATAAGCATCAATAGGCCCTGAGAGAAAGCCAAAAGTAATGCCAGATATTAAATCCATTACTGACTTCAGTGGAGGAAGGGCAAGATTTTAGTTATTAAGTTATTATTTTGTCTATGTGGGTTTTTTAAATACTTTAAAAAGGCTAGGGATTTAGCTCAATGGTAAGGTGCTTGCCTAGCATGCCTGAGGCCCTGGGTTCAATCCCCAGGAACATTACCCAGGAAAAGTTTAAAACGCTTTCCCAACCCCACCCTCCCACCTCCCAGCTCTTAGTTTATCCTTATGTGCAACATATTTTTAATTGAGTTTCAAATTTCTGAGAATTCCATCTGGAGAAATGAATTCAGCCTGAATTCAGACCCTTGAGCAGTGGGAGCAGCATTGTTTTACAAGTTTCCTTGGCTTTATTAGGGCTACTAAACAGGACGATCATTCTTCCTGGGAATTGCTGTGATGCACGGCCCCTCATTCTGTAACCCAGGGCCTTCCTTGTGTTCCTACTCCTCACCTCAGGACACTGGTGCTCCACTGCCTTCATTAAGTGTGTCTCTAAGAATTCTATCACACTAGAAGATTCCTTTGACTTTCCTATCTTCAACTACTAGGAAAAAAAATAAGAGATCTTTACCTTTCACAAAGAAGTGCTATTTCCTTAACAAATGGACTTGGAATTCAAAAGAGAATGCTATAAGCATCAAAACCAAGGGCCAAAGAAATTTAATTGAATGCCAACACCCCCCCCCCCAAAAAAAAAAAAAAAAAAAAAAAAMTCTAGCCAAAAACCAAATCCTCAAGGCTTGGAATTGCAGAGGAAAAGTGGTGAGTGTTAAAAGCGGAAATTGTCTGGTGAGTGCCTCACGTTGATTTTAACAGTGTTGGCCCTAATAGCCAATAACTGTTTTATGATTCTGTGTTGATTCCATTAGTATTTTATATGCAGATTTTCAGATTAAGATAGTATGGCCATTAACTGTATTCTGAATACTCTTAACTGTGCCTCAACCCTGTTATCCATCTTATCAGTTCTACATATGTATTCTAAGATTCAGCAGTCAACCAACTAGAAACATTGCTTTGTCTTGTTTAGAAAAATGATTTCTTTTCCAAGAGCAGAAAAGAGCCAAATAGAAGATCTCAGACAAGAAAGTGAAGAAAGCAAGAGAGCCAACTTAAGTGTAAAAAAAATACAAGGAAAATTCAGAGGAGAATTCATTTTTGCTTGTAGTTTATGGTTCTGTAAAATTGTCATTTGTTTCAGAGTYTGCTTCAAAATTCCTCTTTTTTCTTTTTAGAAATGTGGTTTTAAAAAAGGGTGCAGGGACTTAAAACAAAAATAACAATGAAAACAAATCACAGCAGGCTTAAACATCGAGGTGTGACAAGAAGTCCAGTCTAATCAACATGAAAGCCCAGTAGGGCAAGTCACCCTTACCCTAGTAGTATAAGCTGCTTCTGGATCGTCCTCAAGCACTCTGGACATGCCAAAATCAGACACTTTGCAGACCAAGTTGCTGTTTACCAGGATGTTCCGTGCAGCCAGGTCACGATGCACATAGCTCATGTCAGATAAATACTTCATTCCGGACCCAATGCCACGCAGCATGCCCACCAACTGGATGACTGTGAATCTGCCATCATTCTTCTGCACAGGAAAGGGGCAGGGAACAATCCAATTAGCATGAGGAGAAATTAATTTCGCCAAGCATTTATTACTTGGGTTTTTTTTTTTTATATCTGTATCCGGTATGCAATGAAACTCAGCATTATTTCCGGGCCTTTCTGATCAAAGTCACTAGTAKAGTGTACCCTAGAAGCAAGGTTTGCTTCCTGATAGATGGAAATTTTCCAACTGTAATGAATCTATGGCTGGAGCAGCTCTATGATACAAGAATAAATCAAACACTCCTTTCATTGTCCATGGATTATTTAACAGCCTTAAAAATCACATCATTCTTTATTTCTCCATTTTAAAAAGTCCATGAGTACAACCACCCAAGATGGATAGAAGGAATCTGTTGGGGTTTTTCTAAATACCAGTATTCTTGGGTTTAATAGAAAGTAGATACGTACCCTGAGGAATGCATCCAAGGAACCGTTCTCCATGTACTCTGTTATGATCATTACTGGTTTACCTAGAGTTTTCAGAAAGAAAAACAAAAACCCTTGATGAGCGCTGCAGTTAATGAGATAAAAATGGGCTGTGCACAATTTTACTGCCAAGACACCTGTCTTGTGCGATCTAATTTAATTAAAACAAGCCAAGCTTATGCCTCAGCTGTGGGGAGCTAGGAATGAAATATTAAAAGGACGAGTAGGTGTAAACTCCATCTGGAAGGTTAACCCTTTGGGTGGCTTGTTGACAAGGTCTTTAACGAAAGTGGCCTCGGGTACCTCGGGAGCACATCAATGGATAATTGCTCTCTCAAGCAAAAGGGGAAAACGATAAATGGGCAGGCCTGTTTAAACGTGAAAAAATCTTTAGGATAATTAATTTATTGTGCTCCCAGAAGAGCCACTTGTGTGATGCTTAACAGTGCAATGGATGCAGAAAGCTTTTTTCTTTATTTAGGGACACCCAAGTTTCAGGGGGCAGTAGCTTGTTGGATATGCTTCATTATTCAGACACATCTTAAAACCCAAGTATGCACAACATAAACTGCTTCCCCTCATCTTGTATTGGTCAGGGTCTGCATCTTTCTCTTTTCTTTTTTTATCTAAAAACAAACTTGCTCTTTTTTTTTCTTCCTTAAACTTCCCATCTTAAAAAACAAACAAACAAATCCCAAAACCATCAAGGGAAAGGTTTAGTAAATCATTTCATCTGAAACAAGAACGTCCATAAAGAAATCAAAATTACTTTCAGGCCTGGGGGAGTGGAGAGAAGCAGCACTTTCACTTTACTATAGTTCTTTTTCTGGGAACCTTAAGAACCTTTCTTTGTCTCTTCATTACTTTTAGCGGACTTAAGGTATCTAATGCCTTCTGTACATGGGGCATTGTTGAGGGATGGAGAATGGTAATCATCCATTTTTTACTAAGTTAAGAGGAAAGAGTTCGTAAAAGATTGCTTTGGATGAAAGCAAAATGTCAGTTTGATGTATAAAAAATATTCACATTTATTGCTGTTTTCCTTGACTGGGCTTAGTCATTTAGTCAGGGAAAATGGTCTGGATACTTTCCTATGGAAGAATACCCATAACTATTCTAATCTTTCACCCAAAGATGCTGTCAGTAATTTCTACAATAAGGAAGTGGGAAACATCTTTACTTCAGAAGTAAACATTTTGAGGAGTCAGATTTTTAAATTTCAGTTAAGTCTGATGTTTTCTTCATGGTTTTCATTGTCATGTCTAAGAAATCTTTCAGAAGCATTTTTTTTTTTTTTTTTGCATCACAAAATAACACGGTGGAGACTGTGTTTTCAAGTAAGGAATGAAAGCCCACAGAACAAGTAGGAATCTTGGTGCAGACCAAAAGACGAATAAGAACTCTTCCAAATTCCTCCTTTGCTGGTACTTACTCCCACCCTCCATCAATGTAAGTAGGAAGCTCTTAGTCCTTGAACACATTTACCCTCTCCATCTGGGACCAGACTCTGTACAGAACAAATGCATCTAAGTGAGTTTTAATTAACCTGCCTCAATCAAAGGACACTTTGTCAACTAATGAGAAAAGGGCGACTCTTTGGGCCATGTATTAACACCTACTTTCATTTCACCAGATTTCTCTGGAGCTTTGGAGAAGAGTAGAAGATCCAACAGAGAGGGAGTAGTGGGGAGAATTTATGGTCCTCCTGTCAATTTAGAAAGTTCCTCAAGTAACTGCTTATAATGAAATCACACTCTTCTATCCCACCCTCACACCTCCCTGGTCTGACTTCTGGCACAATCTTCACCATTTCTCTGCATTCCTTTTTCTGTTCACTAAAAGTATCCATTTATCCTCAGAACCTTTACGAGTTCTGCAAGAGGAATAAAGATGAATGTCGCCATAAGCAGGAGGGCTTATAAAGTGGACCCAGGCTGGGCTCATGGATGGAGGTGACTTCCTTCCCTGCAACAGGCAGGGATGCAGGGGGGCAGGGGAGACGGGAGGGATGGATCAAGACAGCTTCTCTGGTGGAAATTTTAAATCATTTTAATTCAGTGACAACTGCATTATGCAAATGCATCCAGTCGTTTATAACAGTTACAGCTGTAATAGCTACGGGTTTTAGAGGCGCGGTGGGACTTTAATACAAAGATTCCCTGTTCCTTCTCTTCTCTGCAGAGGTGCTATGAAAATCACTGTCTGCGGCAGGAAAAACAGCCTAAGCTGAACAGAGCCTCCTTTTGAGAAAATGGACCTGCAGAAGTATTTAAACAGGAATGTTATCTTTTAATTAAAGTAGTGAGGGGCTCGAGGCAGCCCCGAAGGCCACAGGCAACAGAAAAATATCCTGTCTGTAAAACTAATCTTAAAAAGCAAATAGAGCTATTCTATGCTAATTATAGTCTTCACCTTAGGCAGAAAATTATATCTTCTTAGTTTCCTTTTTGGAAGGATTTTGAGGATGAGGGAAGATGGACTCCTTAAGACATAATAGCACTACTGAATAACACTAAAGAGGTCTGTTTTTTTAAAAGAAATAAAATAAAATAAAAAAATCTGCCATTATGTTAACCACTCTAAATATTTCATTTTATTGCAAAATAAATTCATAAGGCAAGTTCTATTTTTAATCTCCGTTTTACAGATGAAGAAACTGAGAGAAAAAGACAGAGCCGCCAGTCAAGGTCACCTGTTTAGTAGCCATAGAACTCATAGGCAAGTCTTTCATCCATTAGGCCAATGGTTCGCACAGTGGGATCCCTTGGACCTGCCAAACTCCTGCTGCTGAAGCAAACTTTTTGGGACAAGGCCCAGGAAACCATTTCAGTGAACCTTCCAGAAAAGCCTCAGGTAGGTTTAAATCTGAGAACCTCTGAACTGGTGCATATTTTCACTCTTTAGTGGTATCCTCATTTCCTCTTCCTAAAGACTTTGTTCCTTGGATCCCATACCAGTCTATCCCAGACCTAACATCTCCWTTTGCTCTGAAACCCCCCTCATCCCCACTTCACCTACCAAAGTAGCCGTATTCTCACTTCTCTGCACTTGCTGATTGACAAGCTTTCCTCACACATGTTGAATCAATAAGGGAAACACTGGCCTCACTGAAGACAGAGCCAAGACCTGCAAGGTCCTTGACTTACACTAACTGCAGCAGGTACCATAGCTCCTGGAACAGAGCCACCTCAGAYGGTAACCGCTTGAGCTGCACAGTCGGTGGGACACTTCATAAGTTGGCCTCAGCCAGCCTTACATCTGTCGAGCTGGGTTGCATTTTAACTGAAGCATAGTTCACAGGCTCAGCGAATGCTAATGGACTAAAAAGGGAAGGTTCAACCAGGTGTTACTTTAAATAGGTGCTGAACAGCAAGAGCCATAAATCAGGCAGTGCAGACAAGCAAATCCCCTGATATAATGAAGAGTCCCAAGATTCACTCCCTGCATCTGGAACAGAAGCTTCCAGTGCAAGGTGTGTGGAGGTTTTGTTGTGCTTTATATGAAAAGTACTTAAAATTTATTTTGCTCACCATCTGCTTGTGCCTACCCTGTGACAATCAGTTTGGTCTAGTAAAGATTTGAAAGATGACTTGGCGTACCAAAAATAYGCAATATTAATTTCCCTAAAAATCTCACGCAGGCTGCCTTGGAGATAGGGTATCAGCCAAAATCGTAGACCCATTGAGAGCTGACTACAAGATTAATGACTTGTCCTGCACTGATTTCCTCCTATTAGCAATCAGTGGGTCTGCACCATCTGCCATTTCCCTAGAAAGAAAATGTGTGTTTAATTTCCCAGTAAATTCGGACTCGGCTTTGTGACAGGAATGACCCACGTACATTTGGTGACGACGCCTTCCAGGTGAATTATGTTTGGGTGGTCAAATTGTCCCATGATGCTGGCCTCGCTGAGGAAGTCTCTCCTCTGTTTGTCTGTATACCCAGCTTTCAGCGTCTTGATGGCCACACAGATCTCCCTCTTGCCAGGCACTTTGAGACGTCCACTGCAGACTTCACCGAACTCACCTTAGGAAGAGAAAAGGGTTCTACAATGACGGACTGGAAATGCATTTAAGACGAAAGAGGAATAGTTGACATTCATTGCATGCCTATTACATGACAGCACTGTGCATACGTATTACATAGATGATTTCACCTACTCCTCTCCAAAACTCAGAAGTCGGTGCTATTATTAGCTCCGGTTTTTTTTTTTTTTTTTTTTTTTTCAGGGAAAACTAAGACTTAATGAAAACAACTGTCCAAATTTTTATAGTTGGTAAGAAGTAGAGTGAACATTTTGAATGCCATCGATCGGACTTCAGATCTCATATGCTTATTAATTTTATCCTGGGAATATATTGAAATCTGTGCCAGAGTTTTTCATTGCACAACACATACTTCAAATAAGGAAATTTTGTATACACCAATGTTTACATATATGAATGTGCATACAATACACTTATACACGTGCATCCATTTATATAAGCCACATACATATATTTAACATCCACCAAGAAAATAGACTTATTAGACAGATAATCAGACTTACCAACTCCTATAACTTTTTCAATCTTAATGCAGGATGCRTCAATTTCTTTGGCAAATTCTCGAACTGCCTGGTTGGGGTCTTCATAGGTAAAGGGATCCACGTAAGTCCTAACACCTAAGTAAGGAGCACGGAATAAGTTGGCTGAACACAGTTCAGGAATGACTAATAAACATAAGTAGTCTGGATCTAAAATCCTTAATGTAGGAAAAGCCAGGTTAGCTGTGTGGTCTTGGATGTACAGAAACTTTAACTTCTTGCTCTGATTTTCGTTAGTGGGTAGACAAAGACTTGTTAGCTATTTAAGACCCTGAAGCTCTACTGACTTCCTGGAATGTCTTCCCACTTCAAGGACAAGAATTTAAAAACAACACATCCCACAGAGGAAAATATGGTCTCTAGGAGGAAATTTGCAATGTGTTAGCTGAATATTGTTAGCCTATCTAGGCTCATGGCCCCTCTGTCCTTGCACTAAGTCCAAACCCTACTTTCAGTTATTGTCCCTTAGCAAGAAAATAGGGACTTTCTTTTTCAGCTGGGCCTGTCCACAGTGTCACATTTCACCTACTGTCAACCTGTTAAATTCGTCACCTCTAGTTAATGAACATWGACTTGGTTAATATAGACAAAAAGAGCAAATCTACTAGTTGATTTGAGAATACACTGACTCTATTGAACCTCTACTTTCTTTCTATTTTGGAAAAAAAGGTGTAATAAGCAAAGATATTGATGTTCACCTGGAAGCTTCAGCTGGAGATAACCGTGGAGACCTAATTGTGAATGGATTAGATGCCAGGAAGTGCAATTCAGCCACGCGGCACACAAATGAAACTCAGAGCATGAGCTCGGAGAAACGCTGGGGACGGGCATCCATGAGAGTTTCCAGTGACATTTGCACCTGTCCTCACTGGAGTTCCTTGGGGCCCTGTGATTGTGTGGCCCAATCTCTTTGATTTTCCAACCTTGTTCATCTTTTCCCTTGTCTCTGAATCCACTAATATGAATAATCTACATATTGGCATTTTCTTGCTACTTCTCTTGCATGTGTGTGTGTGTGTGTGTGGTGGGGTGCTGGAGTTGAACCCAGGATTCTTTACCATGGAACTACTTTCTCAGCCCTCTTTATTTATTTATTTATTTATTTATTTATTTATTTATTTATTTATTCATTTTGAGACAGGGTCTCTGTAAGTTGTCCAGGTTGGTGTCCAACTTGCTGTTCTGCCTCCCTGGGATTCCTCCCAATGGGATTGCAGGTGTGCACCACCACACCTGGCACTACCTCTTTTTAGTATATCGTTTTTGTTTATGAACATGGTAGGTATCATGGCAAAACTAAAAAGTATAGTTTTAAAAACAAAACAAGGTGGGCAGATAACAAGTTGTCAGATACCCCATATCCTTTGTCGCTTTCAGACTCTAGTCAGAAAATCTTCCCGTAGAAAAAAATCTCAAGCTGCTCTCTTTTGCCTACCTCCTGGTACTCATTTCTGTTAGTGATGAGCCACCCGTAGATATTAAAATGTAAATGGGTTTAAATTAGATTTAAAATTCTCTTCCTCATTCACATGGTCTACGATATTCCATTGCACGTGKGGTCACAGGTGAACGACCTCTAGAACAGGGCAGCCACAGCCCACTGTCAATATCTCACAGGGTCCCACCGCAACCTGCTCCTGGAGAGGTCAACCACTGCTGCTGTCAAGGTCATTTTGGAGTCTCTTCTTTCAATTTATTCTTTGACTCCATTTGGAACATCAAAACACCTAGAAGCCACTCAACAAATGTTGAGGTCACTGATTTCACATCACATACTGCCATTTTTTGGGAAGTAGTAATTACTGTTCAATTTCTTAAACTTTTACTGGCCCTCCCCMAATTTTTAGCTGGTCAAAGAAAAAATTACCCATTTAAATCTTGCACCAAGCTACAAAAATATGCTAGCTTGACATTTTTTTTTTTTTTTCAGGCTAAGATAAGGAGAAAGAAGATTCTGAAGGAACTTCTCCACATTGACCGTGTCTTTCATTTCACTTGAAATCGTCCTGGATTACCTACTTCAGTTTGATATTCTTAAAGTGTATTATTTGGATAAGGAATACATTATATAATCACTAATGGCCATATTAGTCTTATCTAGACATTAGAAAACTAGAAAACGTGACACATGATCTAGAAAGACAATTCTTTTACCCCAATGTTTTGTACCTTGGTTCAAATGTTTTTCTTCATCCGCTTCTTGTTTTGCTTTGCTGTATTTACTCCGTCTATCAAAAAAATTGTTAAAATAAGAAAAATATTTCCCTCCAACACAAAAGCTATAGCAAAAGCCATAAGACAGGTTTAGCTGTGAATCGGGCAGATATGTGATGCACATTTCACAGATGAGAAAGCTGAGACTTAGGAGACATGGAAGAATGAGGTAAACATTTGTCACCTGGATGTAGTCGTGKTTCTTAAAAATAAACCAAGCATTTYATGATTATAATTTCAAACCCTCAGAGGAAATTTGTCTTATTGAAAATAAGGTCATATTTCTGTATTCTTGATAGAAATAAATTGTCATAGGCAATTCTCCATAAATCAAAAGGCAATAAYGTTCAGTATATAACAAGTAGTATAATAAGTCTTGTTGAAACCATGATARCCACTACCACAAGAACTTCACATCATATTATACTMTCAAACAATATGGTSACTCAGTTTAGCTGCCACATATAAATCACTAAATTATTAATGAAAATAATAATTATTTTGAAAATTTAAGAAGTAAATATTTGCTTTCCATGGGACTACAATTTGTAAGATTTTGTAGAAAACTAACAAGAGTAAAATGGAAAGTTTTCATTTGCTTTGCTAATTCTCTTCCTTGAAAATGATTCATTAAATCTTGAATCAGGATTGTATGTATCATTTACATGAACTGGGAAATTAACACAAGACTTGGGAATCAAAAATCTATAATATTAAGTTATATATATGTATAAAGAATTTTTTGCMGTGCTGGGAATTAAACCTAGAGTCTTGCTCTTGTTAAGCAAGTCTTCATTATATGTAAAAATTGAGTCAGGAGAGTATATATCACATAAAAGAATTAGAAATCCTCTTCTCAGCAAAGCAAACAATTAATAATGTGAGGAAAGAGCCTATAGATTGGGAGAAAAAATCTTTACCACATGCACCTCCAAAAAAGTATTAATCTTTAGGATATATAAAGAACTCAAAAAACTTAACACCAAAAAACCAATAACCCAATCAATAAATGGGCTAAGAAACTGAAAAGACACTTCACAGAAGAAGAAATACAATTGATCAAAAAATATAGGAAAGGGCTGGGGATGTGGCTCAGCGGTAGCGCGCTCGCCTGGCATGCGTGCGGCCCGGGTTCGATCCTCAGCACCACATACCAACAAAGATGTTGTGTCTGCCGAGAACTAAAAAATAAATATTAAAAATATTCTCTCTCTCTCTCTCTCTCTCTCTCCTCTCTCACTCTCTCTTTAAAAAATATATATATATATAGGAAAAAGTGCTCAACATCTCTAGCAATTAGAGAAATGCAAATCAAAACTACTCTAAAATTTCATCTCACTCCWGTCAGAAAGGCAATCATCAAGAATACAGGCAATAATAAATGTTGGTGAGTATGTGGTAAAAAAGGTACGTTTATACATTGCTGGTGGGACTGCAAATTGGTGCAACCCCTATGGAAAACATTATGGAGATTCCTCAGAAAACTGGGAATACAACTACCATTTGGCCCAGCTATCTCACTCCTTGATTTATACCCAAAGGACTTTAAATCAGCATAGTATAGTGACACAGCCACATCCATGTTTATAGTAGCTYAATTCACAATAGCTAGACTATGGAACCAACCTAGGCATCACTCAATAGATGAATGGATAAAGAAAATGTGGTATATATACTCAATGGAATATTACTCAGCTTTAAATAAGAGTGAAATTATAACATTTTCCAGTAAATGGCTGGAGTTGGAGAATATCATGCTAAGCGAAATAAGCCAATCCCACAAAACCAAAGGCCAAATATTTTCTCTAATATGTGGATGCTAATTCACAATAAGGCAGGGGACACTAGGGAAGAAGAGCATTTTCTTAGATGAGGTGGAGGGAAGTGATGGAAAGGGAGGGGAGGGGATGTGGGTATAGGAAAGATAGTAGAATGAAACAGACATTATTACTATCCGTATATATGTGACTACATGACCAATATGATTCTGTAACATGTACACTCAGAAAAATGAGAAATTATATCCCATCTATATCTGATATATCAAAGTGCATAAATGCATTTTATTTCCATGTACAACTAATTAAAACATTTAAAAAATGAATTAGAAAATTAGTTGGTTTTAACTCTCTAAACTTGAAATTATATTAGTGAATAAAACGTGTAATTTTATGACTGTCCAAATATAAAATTCACATTGGGATCTATAATCATCTTGAGTTTGAATTTCAAAGACAAGGTAAGTTAAGACTCTCACAGATGAGGAAACTGAAGCCCCCAGGTGAGGAAATCTCTCCCCACACCACAGTGTGATCCTGTCAGGATCTGATACCCTTGACTCCTAAACATTGAATAGGCAGAAAGGCAGGATGACCAAGCAGAAGCCAAAATAGCAGAGAACCTAAAGGAGCAAGGAGGGGCAGCCAGAGAGGCAGCCCAAGGCAGCACATGGGCATCAGTGGGAAGCTTTCCTCCCACATCCCTCCTGGAATTGTCAGCCACACAGGATCCAGCTCAGCAACCAGACCTCGGAGCCTGCAGATGTTGCTCCATGTGGATGATTCTCTTGCAAATAATAATACCTTGCACTTTTACACTGCATTTAACTTTTCAAAGTGCTCTCATCACATATATTATCTCCTCCCCTAACTGTTTGCAAAGCAGGAACCAGCTTAGCAAAACAGAGACCCCAGTTACTACTCTTAACGACAGAGTGCATATTTCAGTCCCAAATAATAGCCTGTGTTTTCCTTTGCATTTAACTTTTCAAAGGGCCTTAGGAGGGTGTATTATTTAATTGCATCTTCATGACAACCCTATGAAAGGAATCAGGTGGAAGGACACACACTCAGTTCCATTGTACAGATGAGGATGCGGAGCCAGGAGAGCGAGTGAATCACCCACGTCCCTTCTTGGCAAGTACAGGATTTGGTGGGTGCCCTGATCGGGCCCATGCCTGCACAGCATGTCTTGTAGTGAGGATGTGGTTGCAAGGGCAACTGATGAGACTTACATGAGCAATGGCACATTTTACATCAGTAAATCCCTTTACATGTCATCAAAGAAAACAAACAGGTTTAAACACCCCGAACCAAGCAACTTTCTCTGAAAGTTAAAGTTCCCTCCAAATCCTCCTCCTTTACCCTCTTTTAAAGTAAATATAAGAGGGTCAGGTCAAAGATTACTAAAACATTTAATGTCAGAAGAACACCATGACTGGGTCCCCAGGATGTAACAGGGTTCTGCCAGCCAGAAGGATTGTGTCTTATCAGAGCTCCTAAAAGCTTTATCTAAAATTATAAGCATGTTGTTTTAGTCATTTTAGATCTACAATGCTAATGCAATTTTTTTTCCTTTAAAGGAAAAAAATAATGTATAGAACAAGAGAGCTTTGATAGTCCCCCCACCCCACTATTTTGTGGGACCAGGGCAGAATAAAGGGCCTCAGGTATGCTAGGCAAGTGCTCTACCACTGAACTACACCCTCAGCCCTGAGTAGCCACATTAAATTGTCAGTGAATTAGTCAAAAACCTGGTGTCTACACAAACCAGTGACTTCACACTGCCCAGAAGCATGACTTTCTGTTTAACACCAAGCACATTCATTTAATATGGACAAAGCCACAGGAATACAAAGTGGCAGGGGTCATATAATTACAAGGTAGAGCCACCCACCTACCCCTTCCTCAGACTTCCAAACACACAAGGAGAATTCAATGAGTGGTGAAGGTATATTTTTGAAGAATTGCTTTACTTGGAGGGCTGTTTGRAAGAGGGGACCCTTCCAGGCTACAGGGAACACTAAAAAGGAAACACAAGGATTCCTGTTCAGAGACTAATTGCAGCCTATTAGCTCTCTAATAATACCTTGAAACCAAAATGCCTATGTTCTGCCCTACCTTTGTCACCTGATGACCCTTTCTCCTTAGCCCAGAGCAGGACAATGGGGCTCATTATTGCCCCAAGAAAGAAAGGCCACTGAAGCTTACTACTGGGTCAGCCAGYGTGGAGGAGCCCAGGAGCCTAAGGAAGAGATGACTCCAAATTGTCCGCTGGGGAGCACCTGAATGGCAGAGGAAACCTTTGTTGAAGATTTTCTAATTATGGAGATGTGGGCAAGCCAATTWAAAAGGGGCAGGAGAGCAGTGGCTTGTTAGTGAATGGTCCAGAAGGAAACATGGAACCTTTCAACAGCAGGAGTTACAGAAAAGGGCTTGCTCTGCAGGTGAAGCTTTGAAAGAGGGACTGGGCCCTCCCTGCAGTCAAAGGGACACGGTAATAAGGGTATTAGCCCACATTGTGGAGGAACAGCATGAGCCCTCCCAGGCCATGTGTTGATTCTGGCACCTTGACTATTCAATACACCCATCAGAATAGAGGAGGGGAACATGGCAGGGGCCCTACCGCATAAACCCTGCTTTTATTAAAATACTAACTTTCCCCATCAAGTGGACAGATTTGATTGATGTGGTTCACTGTTCCAAAACTAATTAGTAAAAGGTAAGTAATTTATTCAGCTAAAGTGCAGATTAAGGGAGATAAAGCAATGCAATAAGCAGAACTCCAGGTGGGACCCTTCGCAGGGCTCCCCAGCATTGCCCTGAAGATTCATAGACTCGATTCCTCTTCTTCCCCTTCCTTAAGCTGTCATTGTGCTTGCGCCGAATGGTGTCTGAATGTTCTTTGTGAGCAACATTTTGAAATAGTTGGAATCGAACCGTACTATTGCAGGCAAGTTGTTTAGAAATGTTCTGAGGTACCATCTGTCCCCTAATTGTGTGAATTTACATGATTTCATCAGTCGATTTAGGCTAACATTTAAATGTATTCATTCTTATGTGATCATAATATTGCAGAGGAGAAAATTAGGGTGCAAGGAAGATACAGGCTAAATGGAAACTGTTTTTGCATTACATGTACTGTTAGCTCCAAAATGGAAAAATCTTAACATTCTAGAAGACAAAGCTAACTTGCAAATTTGAACTTTATATTGTGCATTAGACTTGTACATTAATTCACAGATTGCAAATTCCCAGTACCTAATTTATATATATGATATATATATACATATTTGTATATATGTACATATACATATATATGTATATTGCCATAGCTATTTTATTTAATTCTTTCTTCCTTCTTTTTTTAAATTTGCTTTTTTTTTTGCATTTTTTCCCTAAAATCAATTCATTTCTTTTTCTTTAATTCAGGTAGAAGAGGTATTTTATAACCCTAACATAAATGGAAAGACATCATTAAAATGTTGCTAAGAAAAGCAGTTATCAGGTAATACTTCCCCCTGACCACCAAATTTCCCCTTAAAAAAAAAAAAAAAAAAAAAACAGATCTCTTCTTGTATTCCAGTTCTTTCTTAAAATTGTTTCTCATGTTTAAACAATAAAACATTGTTGAGGAAAACAAACTATCCTGAAACAATCTGAATTATTACTAGTTTGTATCATTAATATAAAGGAATGGGGTTGTCAGAGAAATTCAACACTGATTCAGTCCTTAGCCCTGGCACTTAGGACTTTATGATGGTATTGTTAACAGCCCCTTTAAAAAACACTTTACAAAACAAGTTTTGAAAAGTGGTTACATTGTGGAGAACACAAAGTTAAAATGTGTAAATAGGGAAATGGAGCCTTGGATTAAGATAAAATTCCACACCCCCCCCTCACCCCCATAATGCCGGAAAAGCATTCTACCACTGAGCTACATCTCCAGTCCCTTAAGATAAAATTTCTAGGGACAGCATCTCATTTTTGCACCTAAAACAACCTACACAGCAGGTTTAATTATGTACTCTGAAAGTCTAACACCAGTCTGACATGATAACTTGAAGAAGACAYGGATCAATGATGCCTATAAAAATGTAAACTGATTTATTTAACATATTGTGAGTGGTAAAAACATACACAGATCAACTTTATAAAATCTTGTTTCAAATAAAGTTCATAAATTGAGTAGTTTGAGTCTTTCACTGAGATCCCTAAATGCTTACACATTGAAGTGGCTGAAAAAATAAGTAGATCATTTGAATTAAAGTGAAAATGGGAGATTATTCTGGTTAATCCTTAAACTCAGACTGCTCAGCATAAATTGAAAACAACATAGAAAAATCAATTGCTATTAAAAATAAAATTCCTGCAAGAAGCTACATGTGAACCTGAAGCTATTTCCTTTTAATAATGAATTACAACAAACACGATTTTCTCCTTGAGGTCATCAGAAGAACTGAGGCTTTTCTCACCAGGTAAATCCTTTCTGTCTACTTTCTTACAAAATCTCATAGGCCATCAGTAGTGTGGGATTCAGTTCAAGGGGACTCCTTTAAGGGCTCTGTTTCTAGCAGCCTTTCTGCCATCAACATCCCGTGACTCTAAGAAGCCAGAGGCAGTCCCACTAGAAAAGGACAGAACTACAATTTTTCAGGCAAGGACGTTTGATCTGTTGCTTTCCTGCACTGCTGGATGAAGTCTGGCAAGATTATTTCGGGGGTACCATTTACTACCTTTTATTGGTATTTTGCTGAGAGCCTGGGCCTGACTTTTGTTCATAGTACCTGTCTCCTTTCTGTTCACCTGTTCTTGTCCCATTTAAACATTTGTAGTCCAAGATAACAGAGCAGACAACCTGTGCGGGGAGAAAACTGGCTGAGTGAGCATCGGCTGCTGCAAGCCTGTCAGCTACCTGGCTCCAGGCAGCCCTTCCCATGACAGCTTTATGGCCAGCACTAAAGAATAATCAATATGAGGGCAAGGGGTTGACATTTCATTTTCTAAAAAGTGATCCATTGAGGACCAATCACCAAGCAGTGTTTATCAGCCTTGGGAAGTGACATTTTTTTTTTAATGGGGGAGAAGGGACAGGAATCATCGCTAGGTAACTCGACAGGCTCAATTCTCTAAGGGGGGAAGGCTCATAATTGGAAATCCGATGCATCCTGCTATCAATCCTGCCTTATGTAATAAAGTGATCAATAAAAGCAGAAAGGGAATTAAGTCATCAAGCTTGAGGATGCTATTTTCTATAGCCATGGCTTTTAATAATCTTGTCTCCCTGCATTACCTTTTCATATGTTTTTTTTTTTTTCTTTTCATCAAAGCCAATATGTTAACCAGAATGTCCAGGAAAAACTTAAGAATGAGGTGGCTTATTTGTAAAACTCCAGTTTGACTCTGTATTTAGGGCCACTTAAATGAAAAAGAAAAAGGAAAAGGAATCTAAAGGAAAATTGAATCATGACCACAGAATGTTTCAAACCAAAATCTTAAGCAATGGTCTGGGCAAAAGATAAGACCCACTTTCTGCAAAGACCCACTTTCTCACATGGTTCTGAGCATCACATAATGCTGGACTTCAGATATTATTTTTATTTTGAGGTGGAGGTAATTAATACTACATTCCCTATTTCCGTACTTCAAAATATTTTTAATATCTAACAAAGATTGTTAAAAATTAGACATTGTAATAATTTCAGAAAGAAATTGCAGAAATATGTAATAATGAAAACAAAAGTCCATGCAATTTCTAGACACTCCTCATCCCAGTTGATTCCCCACAATTTAAAGGATGCATATCAATGCATACAGTTTCCCATGCGTTACAAGCATGACACATGGACATCCAGAATCAAATGGCAGTGGACAAAGAAAAGGCTCATCTTTTATTTGGTGGGGTAGAGTACTGGAGATTGAACACAGAAGCACTCAATCACTGAGCCACATCCCCAGCCCTATTTTGTATTTTATTTAGAGACAGGCTCTCACTGAGTTGCTTAGCACCTCACCACTTCTGAGACTGACTTTGAACTTGCCATTCTCCTGTCTCAGCCTCCAGAACCTCTGGGATTATAGGCGTGCACCACCATGCCTGACAAGAAAAGGCTCATCTGGATTGGCTCCTGCAACTTAACTTCTTGGAGATGGAACTCACTGCTCTGAATCAGACACCTACTTAAAGACTTTGCACCAAAAGGAATGAATTTAGTGACAAATATAGATGTCAGTTCCAAATGTGACGTCGTTCCATATTGTGTTATTACTAGAGGGAACAAATTGTTTTCTCCAAACTAGGACTTGTGGAGAGTGAGGGTGAGAGCATGGTGTTAAGAAATGTATGTGAAAACTGGGTCCATCCAGGGAAGCTAACMTATGTGGTCATCACCCTGATTATAATGTACATCAGAGCAAAGCAAAAGCAGGGTGGCTTGCCCAGGCAGTGGAAACAGCTACAGGCATGGTTGTGACATTAGTGAGATCATCCACAGGTAGGGAGGGACGGTACAACAGACGTTGGCCTGAGAGCTAAGCACAGCTATTGGGGACAGAGTAGCTCTAGCTACGAGTATAGTAATGCAGTGTTCCTGGACCAGCAATTCACCTGTCTTCTATCACTTTCCTCTTCTATAACAGGAAAAGCTTTATATTTGAAAGGATCATTCTGACACCTTGTGAAACTGTCAATGGTGTAAGGGGGTAAAGGTGAAATAAGAGGTAGATTCTCACATATGAAGGACAAAAAGGCCTAGACACGGGGCACTTATTGATGATGAGCAGCTGTACCCCGTGGGGCATCTGGCAAGGCTGAGTAAGTAGATGGACGACAAGACTGGTTCAATAGCCACTGCTAGCATTGAGTCAGACTACAAGCACACCGAGTATAAATGATGGGCTTTTTGAGATTCCTTTCAAGGGCAATGCCATGCCCACCATGTAATTCATGAATACTCTCTAAGAATACTGACAGCCTTTCCCACAGGGTTATGACAGTATAGTATTCATTTCTTTGCTTCAGTTACTGTCATTTTAACCAACATCATGTTGAAGCACCTACTGTGTGCTGTATCTCTGATGCCTATCAAACTCCTCTTGTTAATAACACTTGGAAGCAGATAATGATCATTTCTTATAAAAATGAGAAATGAAAGTTTGAACAGGTGAAGAAATACAGCTGGCAAATGACGTAGCTCAACTTTGGGGCCACGTTTTCTCTTACAGTTTCGTTTCCCTTTGGCTGTAGATCTAGGCTGAGCAGAGAGAGAAATGTGATACCCATAGCTGAAAGTGTCTGCAGATTGCCCGTTGACTTGCTTTTCAGCTTGGTTTCCTGGAGTTAGTTGTGTCTTTACGGGACACTCAGCAGAGAAGGCTGCCACCCAGTTACAGCCATTAGCCACAGTCGGGATGTGGGAAGATCAAAGCAACAAGGAAGAAGCTTGGCATGCAGATGCCCTGTTTATGGTGGCAATCAAAGGCCTTGGCTTGGTGTGGAGGAGACAAAATGTTTCGTCATAAAACAGAGAAAGTGGGGGTGGCTTCAGAGCTTACCTCCTACTGATGACAAAAGCTGCAATGAGAATGACCACCAGCACCACACTGCCGGAGACGGACACCAGCAGGACAGTGGAGTTGGCTCCATCACCAATGATCCGGGAAGGCACTGCAATGACAGTGACAGGAGGTGACCTGGCGAAGGTGCTATGGGGTGGAACTTCTGATTGGGCCAGAATATTCAACTGTCTGAATCTTTCTGGAGTCCACAGCCTTTGCTAAGTACACATGGAACAGGATTTTCCAAGCTTTAATGAGAACAAGGATATTATTATTTTKTTTTTAAATCACTGTATGACAAACTTAAACAGAAGACTCTTATTCTCCTGGCCAATTCAGGGTTATTTTTTCCCTGTCTTCTTTTTCCTTTCTAACATTATCCTTGCTCTGACGTAATGACCAAATGCATTGGTGAGAAACACATTTGGAAACTTCAGAAAGAACAAATGGTTTTGAATGCCCTTCCTTCCTCACATCTGTGAAAAGCTTGACTATTACTGCCCAGGTCTAAGCCCCTTCCTCGTGGTAGCTTCCCTGGGTGATCTCAATGGCATCAATTCCCTTCAGATTCAACTCCACTTTCGCTTCTGCTTTTTTACATTCTTATTTTATTCAATTGTTTGTTAATAAAACTACTTTCTATAACTGATGTTGAAAATTCTGCTATACCATCTCTTTCTCAAATAGGTCCAATTTAGGTTTCTTAATTAAGGGGGTGGAAATGTCTTATGCAAATGCTAGTGTGGATAGGCTCCTGGGTAAACTTTTGATTCAACCAACCAATGGATTCAACTGACAATGTGAAACATTTGATATGTTTGTGCAAAAAGGCTTTAAAACACACATACACACACAACTCATCTGACTAGGTTTTAACAAACTCCTAGAAATAAGTAAGGGGAAAAAGCATTTTTGGCCCCTTCTTCTATTTTCTCATAAAAAAAAAAAATTTCTTGTCTTAATGGAAGATAGACATGTAACCCTTAATTAGTCAATTTAATAATCCCATTTTTCATGGTTTATAGAAGACTCAAAACAAGAGGAAAATTGGCAACACTTTTCATTCACATGAAAAGACACATCAGACGGTATTATGAAAAGTGTCCTTCCCTCAAAGGCCTGGGGTTTCTAAGTGGCAGACATGGGCCATCTTACACCATGCAGCATTCATTACAACAAAACGTCTGCCTAACCAAAAATCAAGTACGGCTCCTTAGGTTTCATGTTGGTGGAATTGGCCCTGTGCAGAAAAATCTCCGAGGGAGTGGAATCAGGGGTCCATGTTACCTGTGTTGGTTGTGACCTCCAAGGGCTCACTGAAGTCCCCATAGCCAGCCGCCGTCCTGGCCCGCACATGGAAGACATAGGAAGTCAGGGGGTTCAGGCCTTTGATGTCCGTGTTCCTGGCAGCCGTCCGGACTATACGATAACTCCGTTCGTTCTGATCCTACGTTATAGAAAGATAACGTTGATAAAGGTGGCAAAATAAATCATAAATCTCTGCTTACTCTAGGACCAACATTGAGGGAGCTAACACAATCTCCTCAGGGGTTGAAAGTAAGTGGGGCAGAACTCTCGAACTCTACATTCTCTTCTATGGACTCTTTTTCTTTCTTTCTTTCTTTTTTTGAGGTGTGTGTGTGTGTGTGTGTGTCTGTGTGTGTGTGTGTTGCTACAGATATAACCCAGGGCCCCACACATGGTAGGCAAACACTCTACCACTGAGCTGTGTGTCCAGCCCATTTGTAAAATTCTATTTTGACCCAGAATCTTGCTGACCTGGGAATTGTGATCCTCCCGCCTCAGTCTCCAGAGCAGCTGGGACAACAGACCACTGAATCAGGCTGGTAAACACCCTAGTTACTTCTTAGAGGTTGAAAGAAGCACAGAGCTAGGTCTGGCTGCCATTGAACCTGAGCACATACAGATCTTTATTCATAATCATTTTTGAAAAGAACATTAAATGATGGTTGGTGGCTTTTCTAGCTCCACACCCAGCAATTTAAAAGAAATAACTTTAAGAAGGTCCCTTGTCTTTTTCTATTTTCTGTCTGGAAAATGCCAAAAAATACTGTAATCTGATTTCAATTAAAAAATCCAGTCCCTTTTCTGTTTTTAATAAGGAAGGCAATAAGTGATTATCTTTAAAAGGAGAGGACAATTGTTCATTTTCTAGACAACCTTGAGTGCAAACAGCTCTCTTCAGAATTGTCCTTTAAGAGACAAGTTATTTGTAAAAATAATGCCTTTCTGTAACTTTAAGAGGTTGAAGAATGTAATTTTCCTTCCTTGATTTTCTATTAAAAGTCATCAAAACCCACACCCTCATTCTGAATAGCAGTCACCTACTTAAACAGATCATTATTTCCACTGTTATGAGTCACTCTCCCTGATAGAAGGTTTATAGATTAGGACTTCTCAGCTGTCTTGATTCTTATTACTAGAAAGAATATAATGGTATTAGAACACAATATACCTTTCTCTATTTTTCAAGATAACTTAATTAAATAATAAATGTTATAACCAGATTTGATTGGGAAGTAAGATGCATTTGGTTTTGGGATTCACAGATATATCCCAGTTTAGAACTGGCCAACACCTGAACACAAGAGGCAGGAGGGAGGGAGGGAGGGAGGGAGAGATGGAGCAGGGAAGGAGGGAGGGAGGAAGAGAAAGGAGGAAAGTGGCTTATCCAGCAATACCTTCTCATAGTATTTGACTTCATATTCCAGGATTACCCCATTGGGCCGATCTGGTTCTAACCAAGCCAGCGCCACGCTGTATCTTGTAACTTCTTTAGCCTGGACCAAAGCAATGGATGATGGTGCTATTTGGGAAAAACAAAACATTTTATTTTAGGGGGAAAAAATGTTTTTGGTGGTATCAGTCAATAATTCCATCCTACTTAAAAAAAATCATATGGAATCCTTTTCCTTTTGATCATTTTGCTCTTCTCCAGTACAAAAGCGCATCACTTTTTTATCATTCTGTCCAAAATGTGCTTACATGGTTTGACTTCCTAAGACCATCTCTGAAGCCAAGGCCTGGTGGGTCTGCAGCTCCATAGGCACTGGGAGCTGTTCCTCAGACAAACTGCGTGTTCAGAGCATGCTCTCTGGCCTTTGACCTTTGGTAAACCATAAGAGTCTTTGGAAGACCTAACTCACATCCTATCTCCAGGTATGTGAAGTGTCATCTTACTGATATTTAATTTTATACAAGCAAGAGAACGTGCAGCTCTTTCCTGGTAGTGTAGGGAATACCAGGAGGCAAGCGATTTACATACTTTCCAATACAAATAAAGGCACTGCTTAATTACAGTATGAGTTTTCAGTTTAAACACAACCGTGAAAATAATGAAGACCACAAATAAAGCACGAAGGGTCTCTCTGGATATAAATTTTGCAACTATTTCACAAGAGTTGAAATATTGCTTGTGCCTGCTGAGTAACAACTCTTCCTCTTTCCACCAAGAAAGACACAGACGCAGTCCTCTGCTGGGTGTGCTATTGGGAGAGGGAAGGAGGCCATGTTTGAGATGTGTGAAACCAGGCTGCATAACTGCCTGCTCCCCTCCTGAAGCGGTCACACCTCCAGCCAGCTGCCATCACGCTCTGCTGTGACTGACAATAACCAGAGTGGGAGGAGGAAGCTTATCTAGAAAAACTGGTCTGTGGAACCAGAGAAGGGSTGCCAATTATGTTCCTAAATTGGATGTATATTGGATTTTGTTCCCAAATTGTGGAACTCTGTGAAAACAAATTAAAAACAATATATATGGCTACCGAGGAATAATAAATTCAGTTGGGTCATGCTGTGCTCCCCCTACATAGAAGACTTCCAACTCCTTATCTTTTTTTCAGAGGAAAACAATAAGAAAAAGTAAAATAAATGGTCACTGCAAACAGAATAGGAAAAGCTTCAAACCCACTTGACCACCTCAAATGGGCCCACTAGTGGCAGGACAACCAACTGGACACACCATAGTCACGGCACGCTGAGGCCACTCCAGCAGGGACTGCCTCCTAGAGGTACTAATTTTACAGCCTGGCATCTCTTTTTCAGGAAGCTTCAAGATGGGGTCTCTCTCTCGCTCTCTCTCTCTCTCTCTCTCTCTCACACACACACACACACACACACACACACACACACACATTTCTTTTTCTCTCTTTCAATGTCAAAGCGGTTCCAGATTGGATCTCAGGCATAAACACAAGTGAAAGACACAATGCATACACATGTTCTCCATCAAGGGCAACTCCAAGGTTAGCAATACCAAACGGCATGAACAAAGCTGCACGCAGCACACATATGGAAGCCACTGAACATCTGAGGAAAATGAAAAACGGAAATGTGCTCGTTAGGTCCATTAGGGCTCYTTCCCCCAGCACACACACGAGCACACGCACACATGCATGTGCACACACGTATGCTCTCTCCTAACTGGTTGACACAGCCGTTGCCCTGTGAAATACAAAGAGCAACTTTCTTAAATACGGAGGCAGCAAAAGGGCCAAGAAGACTGCCTGCCTGCAAAAAGCMGTTGCATTCCAGGTAATAAATATATCTCCTAACAGAGCATTTTTACCATACACTTTATAAAAAGGGGCTCTTTAAATTCCAATGTTCGAGATTGGGAAATGAAATAGACTAGTGAAAGCCGTTAGAAAGAAAGCAGGAGGGAAGAAAATCATAAAATTATAACATGAACTTTCTCTCCAAAATAGTCTGGGTTAGATTCTGATAATCGACAGATTCCCTGGGAAAGAATTGCCTGCCCGGCCTCACGGTGCACTGATGAACTAAGACAGCTTCTCTCTGCTTGGGTTATCACTAAACTGCTGCATGTGGGAAATGAATCCAATTTCTATTTTAGAAGTTGGAGCAGCAGCGTTCCTGTGACCATTCAAAGGGAATATGAGCTCAACCAAGGTGCTCAAAAATCTCCAGCAGGGAGTCAGCAATATCATATAATCATGTTGGCTAATAGAATATTTCCAAGGCAGCCCTGCTTGGAAAAATCGATGGGCACCAATGTGAAAATAAATGAACAAGAGTGTGTACCTAGACTCAGGTGTCATCAGAATGCAGAAAAAAAAATGAGAGATTAAAGAGAAATACAAGTGTGAGGCAAGAAGGACTGAATAAAATAGAAGGCTCGGATGGGGATAGTCAGAGTACTGCTATGCTGATCTCGGTCGTCAGTCCCTACCAGAGACTGTGCAGTCAGGGACAGGAAAAGAAGTAGTTCTGATTCACACAAAAAAATATTACCTTGTATGGCTGTTCAATCTGAAGTCTTCACTGAACCTATATCTTTCAGAAGAGTGTGTTACCAGGCCACAGTGACAAAAGTCCTCCATGGCCACAGGATGCTGAGAATAGTAGCTACAGCAGACAAGTGCGTTGTAGTGTAATATGGAAGTCATTCCTCACCCTTGAAGGAGAGCTTTGTGTTTTCTCTGGCAGGAGCCCTGGTTTGAGAAAAGCTGAGCTTTGCCACACTGTCACTTTAGAAAGGGGGCAACTGGGATGTCACACACAAGGTGCTTTCCTCGCCTTTTCTACCCAACACAGCCTCCAACTCTCCATCTGGAGCCCATGCATGGCCACATGTGCCTGCCTGTGGCTCATTTCCCCCCATAAGGRTTTTGGCAATGGGATTTCCCAATCTTTCCCGTACCTCAGTGGCTCTTATAACATCAGTCCTCTCATGCCACCACATTTCTCTGCCACTTGTGCTAAGACCTTAGTGATATTTTTCTTATATAGATACACTATTTTTTAAGCTTAATTATTTTTGGAAAAATATTTCCCATTTGTTGGCATGAACTAAACTCTATTATCTCTTCTAATTAATGGCAGGTAACCCTAAAAATGGGTGTAGATGAAGCAATGTTATCAATGTTTTCTGGGCACTCTCATCACCCCAAGCATTATTAAAAACAGATTAGCTGGTGTTAGGGAAGCAGGAAGGATGTACAGACTTGAGATTCTGACCCTGAAATACTCAGAGTTACTGACTGAGACTTGAGATGGAACTAACTTTTTTACAGGGTGATTCAATTTTAGGTAACATCCCAACTGATTCTTCCCGGAAATTATTTCTAATGGCACCGCCAGTATGTTTGTACACTTCGGTAAATACTGCCCTACTCTACACCAATTAGAAATATCTGGATCCTGAATCCCAATATCCCAGGGCTCTGCCCTTTGCTAACAGAATTGGATGAGATGATAATTCAATAACAAAATAACATATTGAACAATCTCCTCAAATCCATGGTAAATTAACAAATCCATGCTTTAGTACAAAAGAGGGCTTCTGAGCCTGGTAGAAATTTTGATCAACATAAAAAGATCAAGAAGATAAAGTCACTCCGTTACCTCTATGTAACCTCTCTGATTTTTATTCTAAAACCTTGTAGAGATAAAGTGCTTCCTCAGTACTGACTCATCCACCAAGCACACACTGAACCAGCAACTTCTGAACAAGGCAAAGATCAGTGAGGAATGATCTGAACAAGGCTGAACTTGAATCATGTACCATCTTGTACATTAGCCTCTCTTTAGCTGAAGAAAGGTAAGGAAATTTCCGTGTTAGTTTTACACAAAAGATACCTTCTAATATCAACCCAAGAACTCATTTTTCTATAGTATAAAAGAAGGGAGTGTCTGCTAATCTTCTTATTCACACTTTTTCATGGTGATGGGGAGATTTTGTGTCTATATCCATAGACACAAAATTCACCTACTGAAGAGTCAGAGGTGAGGCCAGGAGGAAGCTGGGGGCTGACGTGCACATTCTCACTGAAACAAAGTCATGCAACATAGATTGGAAAGCATTCCTATCCACCCACGGACTGCCTTCATTAAAGCAATGGTTGTTGTAAGAAGCGTCTTGCACTCCTAAACAAAAGCAGGCATTGTTTAATGGTTAGATATCACACGCGGCAAAGAGGGCTGTTCATGCTAGGTGACAGCATGATTACAGAAAGCTGATGGATGGACAAGTCACAAAGGCAAACCCTACTACAAGGTGGACTCCAAAGAAGGATTTATGATTTGATTCCAAGAAGTCTAGCTTTCACGCTTTCTTAGTAGTTTGACCAATGTATGTTGATTTTCCTGTTCTGAGATACCAAAACTGAGCCCATCTTTTCCTTTTATTCTCATGGGGATTTGGGTAGTTTTTTTAAACCCAAAATGCATCCTTCATTTCCCCTATTCCTTACAAATCATACAGACATATGCATTCTTTCAGTAATAAGTTTCCTGAGAAACTTACAAGTAGAGATAAACAGGTATTCTTGTTTTAAAAGTTAAACATTATTTGCCTGAGGAATGGCAGTGCCCAGGGATCAAAAGTTGGAATAAGAAAGGGGTACATGGTATCTTGCAAGCACACCACGGGAGGTCTGGAGAAAGGTTGATGGGGTGTGGTCAAGGGTTTCGGGGACAGAGAAGAGGAGGAACTAGGAAAGCATGAACAAGAATATTGCACCTGCTGCAGGTGTGATTGTAATTTTCAGGGTTTGATTCTGTGTGGAGGGAGGCTCCTTAAGATATGTGAACCAAAGACAAGATGACAAATCATTTGCWCTACACGCTGTAAGTACTTGTCGCTTTGCTAGTTTGGTGAAAGCTCAATGGACTTAGAGAAGATTCTAGAAAAAAAAATTCTGGGTATGACATTTACTAGCTGTCATCTGACTAGGGCCACTCAAACTTTCTTATCTCAGTTTCCCCATTTGCAAAATATCTACAAGCTTGTAATCCACCCGAATGCATGTTCTTAAGGGCCGAGTTCTACCTTGTTCATCTCAT